AATCTTTTTTCACTGTATTGACTGTACTCAGAGGAACAGAATAAATCCTAATATAGGTATTCTCATTACAAGTAATAATAATAATCCATTCCTAAATACAATAACCCGCAAAAAGCATGTACTGAGCTAAATGAAGTATCACACAACAGCTTTAAACAGGAGAGGCTACCAATTCAAGAGGGTTTAATTTCTCAGAGCAGTTATCCACACAGTTGTATCGAGAACCATAGCACAGATGTTATTAAAATAGTGTGAGTCTCACCAAAATAAATGAATGCTATATCCAGTACCTGTCAGTCTCATCACATTCTGTGAAAAACAGGCTTGATGATGCCATTAAGACTCTTTATAGCCACTATTATAAAAGCTTAATACCAAACGGCCAGTTAATTATTGTTTTATTTGGAACCTTATCTCAAAATTATATTAAACACAAAAGTGACTATATTTGCCCGAGCTCTGTGAAAAATAAAACAACAGGCAAGCTTCTAAGATGGAAGCTTTATAATGATGAAAGGACACTAAGAACTCCTCCACAATAAAATCAAATTCAAAATCCCATACCTCAGGCTCTGTTCCCTGGATTCCTGCATCTTGGCTTTTTTCACCTGCAAAGAATAAAAACGTTTAGAGCCGGGACCAAGGGGAGTTGTCCTTGAGGGAAGCTGCACGCACAGAGCTCCATCACCACAGCGCTGCACTGGAACTCCTCTGCAGGAGGATCTCCAGCACTGTGCCTTGTTCCCCCACGACAGGAGACCCTCCCCCCCGCCAAACCATGCCCTTGGTGTGGTACAGAGAGCAGTATTTTAAATTGTTCTATGGCAGGAGGTTGGAACAAGACGATGTTTAAGGTCCCTTCCAACCCAAACCACTCTATGATTCTATGATACGAGTTTTCCTTTAAGTCAATTGTTAAAAGTCACTTCAAAAAAATCAATAAATATCTGGACAAGTTTTCATCCTCTCTTTAAATGGTCTTGGAACATGTGATAGTCAGTGTGAGTGTGCAAAGAGCAATTTTGGATTTCAGTTTATCATGTCACTGCCTCAGCTGGCCAGCCTTGGCTTGTCCCCACTTCAGCAGGTTTTTAAAAGAAATTCTTGCTAATGCCTTTATGCTGTGCAATAACATTTACAAAATCTTGACCCTTCAGTGGGATGCAAACTCAATGTCTACCCATCACCAATCAATACAATTTATGCTTCAAAGTGAAGTGAGAGGGAGCAGTTTTAAACAGTCTTTCTTAGCCTATGAAAGCATGTTCTGTTTCCCGCCACGTCTCTTAAACATATTTAATGCAGGAACAGTGTGATTTGGGTGGATGTCTGGGGCACAAGGAGGGAGTGTTGTCATGGTTGCATCACTGCCAGCTGGGCCCTGAACGATCCCACTCCAACTCTGATTCCTACCTGGCCACCTGTACACCCTTCTCCTGCATGAACCTTAAAAAAGGCTGTGGAAACCTCTTCAAATGCCTTCTTTCAACACACACACCCCTCTGAAAACCTTTGGGAAAATGCTGAAGGTTTTTTGTTCCCTTCCAAGCGACAAGATCACAGTTTGAAGACTCTTCATAGAATCCCAGGATGGTTTGGGTTGGAAGGGACCTTCAAGACCATCCAGCCAGGGGCAGGGACACCTTCCACCAGCCCAGGTTGCTCCAAGCCCCGTCCAACCTGGCCTTGGACACTTCCAGGGATCCAGGGGCAGCCACAGCTTCTCTGGGCAACCTGTGCCCCTGTCCCTACATGCCCTTGCAAACAATTCCTTACCAAGTATCTTGTAGGCCCCCTTCAAGCCCTGAAAGGATGCAAAAGTGAATTCACTCTTTTTAAAAATAAGAGGGAAAAGAAAGATAAAAATAAAAAGAAATAGAAGAAATTAAAACAAGAAAATTATGGGGTCTACCTCAGGGATTCCTGTTTCAGCTTTAGCAACTGCAGATGTTCTCTCTAAGCTGTTCTGCTGCACTGCAAGAAGTGACATGTGTCCTAAGGTACATCTTTGCTC